GATGAAACTAAAAATAATTTTGAGAAAAAAATGGGTGAAAATTTGGATTATGTAAGTATTTTTAAAAGAAAAATCAAAAACTGAAGGTTAAAATATAATTTAAGAAAGTTGTGCCATGTATGATGCCCAGTCAGCAGCTCCAACAAACCAGAATGCGCTGCGTGACAACGAATGCTGACGTGGTGTCACGCGGGCGATCCGCGTACCTACGATCAGACGACCCAGATCCGCTCCCGCGTGCACGAACGACCTAGATGAGCGTGCTCCTGATACGCAATCGGACGGTTATATTTAAACGCGATCAACTATCTAGATCTAGTTCCTATTTAATCGCGATCGAACGGTCTAAATCAAACGCGATGGACTGCTCAGATTAAAATAGCACGGGTATAAATAACATTCTTCACACCAAACCCAAATCCTAACCGCCAGACACCCTCGTCGGAGAAGAAGACCAGCCACCGCCACCCCCCGCTGCGCCATAGCCACTTCTGAAAGCCAAAAGAGGAAAAAATTTATTTATTTGCTCGAAATTCAATTTTAAACACCTCCATTACCAAATTGGAGCCAAAAGACCGACAGATTAGCTGAAAATCGTGGGCAATGTTGTAACGCCCGGAAAATGTGGGAAAAAAATTTATTATTTTATTATTAAATATTTATATTAGGTTAAAAAAAAAAGCGCCACGTCAGCAGCCACGTCAGCAGACCCAGTCAGCAGTCCTGGCCAACCAGGACCTACCACGTGGCAAAACCACGTCGACCGGGGACGGGCCACGTTGGTGATCCGCGTACGCGCGATCGGACGGCCCAGATTCAATCAAAAACGAACGGCCCAGATTAAATCAAAATGGACGGCTGAGATCAAAAGGCAAAATGGTATAAATAGAACCCCCACACCTGACCATAAAAACCCTAGCTGCCTGCCCTCGCCGGAGAAGACGAACCAGACGCCGGAGAAGCCGGCCGCCGCCACCCGCCGCAGCACCGGGGAGATTTCTGACCGCCGATCGAGGTAAATTTCATACCCCCAACTCGTTTTTTCACGCTGATTTCCCCTGTGGCCAAATCGGAGTCAAAATCCCGGCCAAACGGCCAAAAAATACGGCTGAAACCCAGCGGCGCCGCCGCGCCCCTCCTCAGTTTTTGCCTCCGATGAGGCCCTTCCCGGCCTCCGTTTGATGCAATTTTTATATCACCGTGATCACCATTCTTTTCTCTACAGGTTGATCGGAGCCGAATCACCAAAACACAAACCTCACCGGAGAGCCGCCGCACCCGAGAGCACCGCCGCCGGTAAGCTTCGGTTTTTCGTAATTTTTTGGCCCCCCGAGGGCCCTAGGATTGTTTTATCGCAAGAACCGATGCAAGTGTGGCCGAATTCGACCGAAAACGGCCAAATCGAGGCGAATCACCGCTGCAAGCGGCGGCACCGTCGCCGGAGCACGGCGGAGCCGCCGTGCCGGAATTGCGATATTGGCCAAAAAGGGGCCCTGGGCCTAATTTGGAATTTTTTGGAACACGTGCAGGTACCAGTAGTGTGTTTCAGTTCTCCGAAAAAAAATTCAGGAAAAATTAGGGACAGCCTGTAGGAGCACTGTGAAGCCGTGTTCGGACCCCGAAACGAGTAAGGACCCATCACCCTATTTCCTATCACGGTATTAAAGTTCAATAATGATAAAACGGCATTTCTTGAATCAACGAATGTGTGAAATTGCTTAAGGTCGCTAATGGAGCCCGAGTCTAGTGTGTTTGTCGGTTAACTGTTAGTTGGCCTATTTTACAGTTTTAAATGCAGTATGAGGTTTGATGTTTTCATTTTATAGTTTCGTGTGCATATTTTACTGTTTTATTGATTATGGGTTGAATGACTGAGATACCGATGCTGTATGTTGTCTGTTTGGTATAAATTACTGTTTTGCTTGTTTGTATGTGAATTGATGATGCTGACTGAGGAAAATGAGAATGAAAGATTATGTAGATTAATAATTGTATAATGTGGTCAGCTTAACTAGATATCCTGGGAGATGGTGGACAGACCGGGTCCATAGGGAACCCTACCGGGATTGTGGTCTCTCATACCGGACGGGGTATGGAGACCTTATGTGTTTTGGCGCCCATACCGGATGGGATATGGGGACGGTCCGTTTCACCCTCATACCGGACGGGGTAATGAGGTTTATAGTTTTAGCGCCCATACGGGACGGGGTATGGGGACGGCCCTGGAATCTGATTTCAAGTGTTAAGGGTTAACGGGTAGCGAGACCCCTATGGATCCCCATGGATACTAGTGGGCTGGTAAATGAGGAAAATATGTTGTGTAATGATTGAATTACAAAAGGCGTGATAAGTATTATGTTATACAGTTTATATGATTTCATGATGATAATAATGTTATTGCTTTCGTATGTTGTTTTATGAATTTCACCGAGGTAAGTGGATGGTAAAGGATTTATTATTGATAAAAGGATTTGTTGTAAATTATGCTCTATTGGTCTCTTTGTGTTTTCTACCCACCTTTATCTCCGTGACGGTGAGATATCGTGATGTCTTTACTGGGCTAGTGTAGCTCATTCCTTATTTAATCATTTCAGATCAGGAAGACATTGTTCCCGAGTCCATTCCGCAGGAGGACGACGAAGGGGACGCCTAAAGACCCCATAATCATATTCATAGCTTTTACTTTCGAGTTTCTCCTTTAGTTAGTTTGATTTTTTATATTTTGTGAGCACATTTTTGGTTTTAGTGTAAGGGATGTTAATCGAAATTTTGACTTCACTTCCGCATTTGATATTTTTAATACACATTTCATTTTAAATTTCTGGAGCCGTTACAAATGCCGCAGCGAAAAATTTCAAAAATCGCATCCGATGATGCCTTTTCTGATTCTCGTTTTGTGAAATTCTTCCACCTTTGTAATCACTGTTTCATTCTCTACAGGTTGACCAAAGCGAAACATTCAACCACAAAAGTGAGTCGGTGGAGCCACCACACCGGAGAGCCCCGTCGCCGGTGAGTTTTAATTTTTCATTTTTTTTGGGCCAACAAAGGCCTTTTAACATATTTTCTCGCATGGATTAATGTAAAACCTGCCGAAAATAGCCAACCCGAGGCAGACCGCCACCGCGGGCGATAATGCCGTTGCCAGAGCACAGCGAAGCCGCCGTGCTGGAATTAAGAAATTGGCCAAAAAGGGGTCCTGACACTGATTTTAGATTTTTTATGATATTTATAGGTACTTGTAGTGCGTTTTAATCCCCGAATAAAATTTTGAAAAATTCGAGGACCGCCAATAAGCGCAGTCAACAAGTTTCACTTTTCGAGCATCGAATTGTGTAAGAATCCCTCAATCTATTCTTTGTTATGGAATTGAAGTCAAATTAACAATAATACAATATTTTGTACAATTTAAAAAAGATCCATAATTAATTACGGGTTACTAATGGAGTTAGAATAAAAAATTATCTATTGTTATTTCTGTTGATTGTTTTTATGGTTTGAATGCATGATAGTATTTGATTGATCGATTTCATAGTTTTGAATGCATTTGTTAGTTATTTTATGTATTTACGGATGAATTGGGGAAAATGGAGATTAAAGGAAAATAAAAAATTGTGTGATTAAGTGGATGGATAAAACGACAGCCTTACTGGATATCCTGAGAGATTGTGGACGGACCAGGTATATAAGGAACTCTACCGTGAACATCGCTTCATACCGGACGGGGTATCAAAGTTTAGTAATTTGGCGCTCATACCGGACGGAGTATCGAAGTTTAGTAGTTTGGTGCTCATACCGGACGAGGTATGGGGACAACTTGTTAATTTGAAATATTAAAGGAAAAGGTTCATGCGTTGTGGAGACATCCCTATAAACCCTCCATGAATACCAGTAGGCTAATAAAAAGATAAAATTGTTCAAATCGATTATATATGAAATCATAATCTGTGTAATATTATTGTCTCTATAATTTGTTTTGTAAATTTCAGTACGGTAAATATATGGTAAAATATTTCGTTTATGATAAATAAATTTATTTAATTAATAGTTCCATTAGTTGTTTTTTATTTGTCTACCAACCTTCATTTCTGTGTCGATGAGTAGTGTGATATTTTTACTAGATTAGTGTAACTCATTATTTATTTAACCATTTTAGATTAAGAGGATAAAGATACAAAGTCTGATACATAAGAGAGCTGCGAGTAAGATATTAGTTTTATTTATTTTTCGTTTATTTTCTTAATTTTTATATTTCCTTTAAAAAATATAATTCCCGTAACACTATTTTGTACTTTAAGTTATTGTGTAAAGAATGTAAACTCTAACTAATTATTTCGCTTCCACATTTAATTTATAATTTATCTCATTAGAAATTCTAAGGTCGTTACATATTCACTTTCATCTTTATTGACTCATCTCGATTTTTTTAAAAAATAATTAATTTAATTCTTAATTATATTTAATCCTTAAAAAAAATTGACAACCTAAGAAACATCCATCACAAGACTATCTCTAACACAAACTCTCTATTTAATTCAATCTGGTCATTTACCAATAGTATAAGAGTTTTTTTCTATCCGATATTATTATAATATATTAATAATTATTTATTTAAATTTTAGAAATATAAAAATATAATTTAAAGTTATCTAAATATCAATATAATTTTTAGTTGATTACAAATTAGGTACTAAATAATTGCTAAATACTAAAAAAATTAATGTAATAATTTATATAATAATTATTTTTTTATTTATTAATAAAAAGTCATAACATAGCGTTATTTATTTAAACTTTTTAATATATGATATCAATATTTATTATTTTCTCAGAGTATTTACATTGCTTTTAATTGAATTAAATGTGTATTTACTTTATAAGTTATTCGAATAAAAGAGGTTTTTTATAGAATTCCACAATATAAGATTGAGAATCATTAAAAAAATATTCAAATAATAAAAACTCAGTAGGATGAAAGTGGACCGAACATAAACCCGAACCGATCGGGCTCGTATATTACCCAACCCGAATATAATTAGGGTTTGTGTTCAGGTTCTGTGGAATCCACATTTAACAATTCTGCATTGCATTCGAGAAGGACATAAAGGAGTCAAGGAAGCGTCTATTCTTAGCTGCGTCACCATGAGAGCTAAGGTAAGGACTGTAATGTCAGTCCAAAAGATCAATTGCGATATGATCATTTTTTCGTCCCAGAAAAACTATCGGAACTGAAAGCAACTTCTTGTTTTCTTTGAAGAAATTAATGTTTAAAATGTTTCAGCAATTGTTGCTAAAATCATTATTCTTGTTTGCAGTGGAAGAAGAAGCGTATGAGGAGATTGAAGAGGAAGCGACGAAAGATGAGGCAGAGGTCGAAGTAACTTCTGCTGCTGTTTCTGGTCCGGAGCTCCTCTCACGGGGTTTTGTGTCCCTTTTCGTTAGTTTAGTTCAGGCATTGTTTGATTTGTACCGAGACAGTTGGTTATATTTTCTGAGGTGCTTGGTATATTTTGCTAATGTTTAAATTGGATAACCAACTTTGCTGATACCGTATGTCATTAGTGCCTTTGGCATTAGATTGATTGAATGCTAGATGGTTTGATGTTATTCATTTTGTTATGTGTTAGAAAATACATGTTTTATATTAATTCTGCTGGGAAGGACAATGTACTTTGTGGTTAATTAGATTAGGCCCTTACTGGTAGATGCTGGTTGTTAGTGCTAATAGGCCGTTGTTTTTGTTGCAAGTTTGGACATATCTCTTTGAGTTCTATCAGTCCTTCACTTTTTAGATCAATATTAGAGTGAGAGATTACGTGCTGTTATGGGTAGTTTTTATTTTCTTAACTAGTGCTAGTTGTCGGTGATGATAGTTACAGGTTGCACATTGTTTTCTCTAGCAACCAAGCATTAGCATTCTCTTCAACAAGCATTGGAACATTGTTAACGTTTCCATCATTCAAGGTTGTTGACAGTTTGAATTTCAAGTAAGTCGACCGGGTCCCTAATTGCATACGAAAAGGATCAAATTGTTTTCTCCTCTTAATCTTTCAAGTGATAGAAAGGAACATAGGTAGTAGACTTTATTTATTTTAGTTTATGATTGTTTTTGGGGTCCTAAATTTGTAGTTGTCTGGTTTGTCAACATTAGGATATTAATGAAGATCGTATGCTATTATTCTCTTCTTTTACCTTTGTTTCATTTAGTATTAGACAAGCTAAGAAATTAGCATAATGGTTCATCTTTTTGTGTGCACCTGTATTAGGATATGTATCCTCATCTTACCCTTTGTGATTCCAGGGTCAGTTGTAGCTAGCTTGTGCTTTATAATAATATTCTTCTTTCCTTTGCTGCTAATAATTTTTTAACTGTGCATTACATTCGCTCATTGGGGAAGGGTGGATAAATTGCTAAAACGTGAATGTTTCTCTCAGGCCAGAGCAGAAATAAATTTTTTCCCACTTTCCTTTTATCTTACTTCTAATAACATATAATTTATACACGTCTTAACCACTTAAGCAACATGCTATTGTTTGTGCATGCCCATCCCGACTTTCTTCAGCTCTTCAAATGTACGTATTGTTACTCCATCAAAACCACCTGCAAACTGAATGTTATGATAGTTAACATTAGCAAGACTGATATATAGGAATTTTAATTCTGAATAGTTTGACACTACCTGGTGGACTCGGTAAGTAAATCGAACCCCTTGAAGCATGAGATTTCTTTCACTTGGGCATCTGCTTGATTGCAGTTCTTTGGTTATTCTCTTCATGTATGCCCTGGCTAACCTCAATGAACTTAATTTCATCTGCAATGTTTATGAAGATAGGACTTGAAGTACATAATAATAATTGCAAAAAGGGTGGAGTGCTGTTTCTAAAAATTAGATTGAACAATTAGCAGATTTTGACGTTTGATGAACATGATTGTGATACTATATCTTTGTTTAACAATCAGGTATTGTTATCAGAGGAAACTAAACCCTAAATGTGGACCTGTTATGGTTTGTGATTTTAGTTGAGGAATGGTGAATGCTGCTGTATCTCTCATGAGTTGTGTATACCTCTCCTAGTTTGTGCTTGGAGAGAACTTCCTACGGAGGTTAGTTTCATGAAGCAGTTAATTCCGTTAATTGCAACTTCAAGATGAAAGGGGCAGTTGGGTTTCTTACTTCTGCTATTGATGCAATTTGTCTCTTCAAGGTCTTGCATACGGTGTTGTTTTTAGTTCGAAAAAATTTGTTCTATTGGCTTTACTGTTATTCTCACTAGAATCACTAGTATTATTGTTGTTAATCTCATCGTCATCCTTTATGGTCTGTACTATAACAGTTAACTTCTATTACCTGACCAATTAGCCCTGTCTCCAGCATCCATTCCCAGGGAATCTGCATTTCTCTGTATCTGCTGCTTTTACTGTCTCTCATTCTTTCCATATTATTTACACTTTCCTCCAACCTGTAAATTTCATATTTAATAATGCAATTAATACATACCATTGAATGAAAATAGAAAGTTTTAGTAATATAGTTTATACATGCTCGCCTGTCTTGCAATCCTTGAATCCTTCCCAGTGCCTGCACTAAAGATTCTTTTGGGTTGTCCTCGAATGATGAAACCTCAGATTCAAGGTTCTGCAGGTCCCGGTAATTGAAAGCAGCTTCCCTCAAGGCATCTGCTTTTCTTTCTGGCCATTGTGGGAAATGCTTCAAAACTGCCCTTTCATCTACCAGCGAAGATAATTCCTTGTCCAGCCACTTGACAAATGTCTCAACTTCAGATATCTCTCTGTGGGCTGCAGACTCCACCTCGTTGATTAAGAAATTGATGAATTCTTTCTTTCGTTCTACATCGGATTTAATCTGTATGTCACATCTTATTGTTACTGGGAGTTTCTGCTGGATAAGAAACAAATATAAAAGGTGCAGTTGCTGCTATACTTACAGCCGAAAGATAACTGGAGCGGTTCTCAATTTCTCCAATCATGTTCTTGGCGAATACCGGTGCTGGATTTGCTGAATGATTGTTCCTGTTCTCCAGGTGAGAATCTTTCCTTGTTAGTAAGCGATACAACTGCACTACTTCAGGCACCCGGCGCACAGATTTAGACCCAACTAACAATTTAGATGGCAATGGTGGGGGTGGCGGCACTGGTATTGATGGTTCTTTACTTTCATTTTCGTTTACCTCCTTGATAGATGTGGTGATGGCAGCAGGTGGCTTTAGCGGTGGTTTTGGTATTTTAGATGCCCTTTCCTTCTTTGCTGCTAAATCTTGGAAATTTGGCTGTGGACTCGAATTCTCTATTTCACGCCTCAGTTCAGAAATTTTAACAAAATCCGATGTTTTCTGTTGAGTTGCATCTGTGTTGCAGCTCTCATTGGGGTTCTGTAATTTCTTCCAGAGCATGGATTTCCTCTCATTATCGTGTGCTTTAAGGGAGCTTATTTGTGCTCGAAGACGGGCTACTTCTTGTCGTAGTTCCTGATTATCTTTCTCTAGAACGTTGTTCTTTGCGAGAGAAACTAGGAGCTCCTTCTTCAAGCAGGTGATCTCTGACTCATCATCTTCTAGTGACATATTTTCCTCTACTCTTGTGCTACCCTGGAAGGATGATGATGGGAGGAGTGGAGTGGTTTCGATTTATTACGTCCTTCTCCTTTTTATTCCTTGTTTTACTTTTGAAGTAAGGTATTCTTACCTAAGCCCCGGTCTTGTTACTCTCAGAATGCCCTATGATATGCTGGTGATGGCTATGATAGGACATGGCATAAGTTGTTTCGCCCAGGGATGTTTTTGGCATTTAGAAAATTTTGTCCTGTTATATGTTGCGATGTGTTAATGTTAGCTGTTCTCTTAGTTTGCAAAAATTGACATGAAATTTGTGGGTTTGCTGGCACAGAAAAAGGTTGCTACTGTGTAGTAGTTGTCTGTAGGAAGGCAGGTTAGGTATTTATTATTATTTGATTATAATAAAATTTGACCTTAATAAATATAAGGGTGTCGTGTTCCTAATGGAAGTGAATTGAACTTCTTTCTTTACACATGGAAGAAGCCGTTTTCTTCATCTTTTTTACATGCATGTGGTCTTCAGCATAATCCTAAACGAGAAGTTTAAGACATGATTGATTGTAAATTGCCAACTGCAAATATTTTTTTGAGTTGATTAATTTTTTTGCAAGATCTTCCGGAGTCCAAGTTTTGATTGTTGTGGGTGGATTTTATTTTTTAATTTTTAAAGACTGTTGTGGAGCACTTTGGTATTATTTTGATTGCATGTGAAGCAATGCGGAAGAAAAGGTAAAAAAAAAAGGTAAAGAAAGGGGAATTGAAGGGCGGTGAAAGAGTGGAAATTTGAAGAAAAAGAAACTGCTTTGATAATTACAGCCTACCTCCCGAATAAGATTTCCCGTTTTTTACTTTATTTTATTTTATTTTTTTTTTACGTTTCTTTATTTTTACATGTAGTTCTACCTTACTGTATAAAAGAAAAGATGGGAATTTCAGGTTTCTTCTAGATCTGGCTTTTTTAGGGTAGATATTTGAAACTTGTAGTCACACTCAATTGATAATTACTTGCCCGAGCAGCTTTTTAATTGGTTGCTAGGAAATTATTTAGTCGAGACTCCTACTTTTCTAGCAAATTACGAAGATTATTTTATTTATTGTTCCAAAAATCACCTTTGATTTAGTTTTATAGAATATATTTCCATAACTAGAATTAGAAATATTATGTGTTTTGTTTGCTTTGCATGGTAGTTGAATTAGAGTTATATACAGTGAAGGGAAAAAGCCATTGTAGCAGCTCAAGAGGTTGATAGCGAAAAAGAAAAGAAAAGGGTGGTGTAGGTTGCTCGATTCCCTCATGTCTTGTCAGACCTTAAATTCAAGGGGCAATTTGCAGGTCTAGATATGATCCATTATTTCTCCAAGTCTCTCTGTAAGAGAAAAGAATGGTTTATATGGGGAGAGAGAATCTACGGTGTCTCGAGAGAGAGATTTGAAAAGAATAAATTATTAATTTTTTAATGGTCCAAAATCACTTGTCAGTATAAAAGACAGTAGCTTATTGGGGCAGTTATTAGGGCAAAGTCCTTTTATTCTAAGTCTTTGTTCCAGCTTTGGGATATGAGAGGACCCCCCCCCGTTACCCATTCTCCCCACCCTTCTTTAACCAAGTTGGATACCCTACTTCTTAGGCAATCTCCAGGCCAACTACTACCTAGCTGATGACTGACCCCAAAAAAAAAAAAAAAAGGAAAGGAAATTCATGGGCAAATTATAATGTTTCTTCTCCTGAGTTGATTTCATCATAATAGAAAGAAAGAGATGAATTATGTGATGTTTGTACTTTATGTGAGTTTTTCATTTGAGACAAAATTGAGGGATTGAATTTGATTGACCCGAGCAAATCAAAAGAGGAAGACCAGAAGTAAAAAGATTCCTTTAATCGTGTAGGCCCAATCTAGCCCCGTAACCCATGATGTTTTACCAACTGATGGGCTCAAGACTCCTTCCTCATAAATTCACAACTGGCCCTGTTGTCTCTTTCCTTGTGGTTTGTGTTTAAAATGACACCTGCTGCTCCTACTACTTCAGTCTCTTGCAATACATTTTTATCAACGTGGGTTACTCCAAATGTCCATCCTCAGCAACTTTATAAAAACAATTATGGTAATATATGTATAACATTTTTGTTAATGATTTAGTTGGTATTTCCGAAATAGAATTCTAAATGTACATTACATTTTTAATGTGCAAAACTTTTGCATACAATTCTTGAAGGCCCAAGAATATAATCATTCTCAAGATAAAGTTTTTTTTTTTTTTTTTTTTTTTTTTATACCGGAGTATTTTAACTTTTTTTGGGTCAAATTATTAAATTAGTTTTTATAATTTGACATTTATTATAATTTGTTTCTTAATTTTTTTTTCCGTTATAATACCATTTTTGATGTTTTTCATTTGATTTAAGTATTCAGTTTTCTTCTATTTCTTAATAAAACAAAAACTAAAATAGTTAAATTATATTAAAATATTTTTTAAAAAATTAAAAAATGAATTTAATTTATTATTAATTTAAATTAATTAATTAAAATTATTTTTTAAACTATTTTTAAAAATATTCCAATACGATCTAACTGTTTTTGAGTTTTTTCTATTTATTAAGAAATAAAAGGAACTTAATGTTTGAAATAAATTGTAATTAAAAAATATTAAGAATTAAATTATAATAAATAACAAGTTTTAGAAAACTAATTTGATATTCTTTTTTTTTTTTCTTTTAGTTGGTGGTGAAAGGATTATTGATTTTGGTGTATGAGAGATAGATATACAATTTTCGTTGAAGATTTCTTTCTGCAAGAATGCTTCCACTTCCATATACAAGTGTTTGGAGATACAAATCCTAACAAGAATCAGAATTTACAACTTAACAGTAAAATGTTAGTTCTACTGTCTCTTTAGATCTATGTAAAAACATCTTCCATGCCTACATACAAAGTCTAATCCAAAAAACTGCAGAAAACTCTCCATTTCCAGCATGTCACTACTCAGCATTGCTCCCTTTCTCTCTGTTAGATCTTTCTCGTAAGCAAGTCTCCTGTTCAGCAACATGTATGACTGTTTCAGCAGAAAGTTACACGATGTAAATCATGCCAACTTCGAGCAAAGAAGTATGTGGAACGTTGAGGACAACATCAGGGCCTCGACAGTTTGTACTCAGAAAAGCATATACAACATCTATAGCAAATTTCTTGAAGATGGAAGATGACTTCTGTGCCTTTGCATAAGAATGCCCAAGAATATAAGCAATACCAGATTCTTTGGCTTTCAGTATGTGATGAGACTCATCTTTAATGGGAGAATCCTTTGAATTCCTACTACTGGATTTGATCACTTCAGTATCATGGAGAGACTGCTCAATCACCTTAAGATTGGAGTCTGTTAATGTCTTCAAGTCTCCAAACTCCCAAGATTCAACAGTTGTCTTGGAAGCAATATCTTCTTCTTTTTCGACAAATTCTACTATTCCATTCACCAATTTATTCTCAAAATCATAGTTTTCCTGCTGCAGATCCTTGTAACCATACCTCACAATGCACCTGAACATGCCATACTCCTTCGGGCCTACCCTGCTTATCAGCAACCGTTCTTCTTCACTGACAAAGGGGACTTGAACAGATTTAACACAGACAAAAATTAGCACCTGATGGAATGCAGGCAAGTTGGTGACAAAGTGTCCAAAAACAGCTGGAACTCCAGTTATCAGGTCAGTGTAAACAAGTCCGATTCCAGGGACACGAACCATTCCAAGACTAGGCCCTAAACAGACTATTCTGTCCATTGAAACCTTGTTCTCGACATCAAATTCATGTTTCTTCGTAGTTCCGTAGTTCCATATGTACATTATAGTCATAAAAATCAAAGACAGCACAAGGGGAATCCAGCCTCCTTCTGGTACCTTGCAGACGGATGCTGAGATGTAAAGCAATTCTATTGATCCAAAAAACACAAGAAATGCAACTATACTGATTAGTCTTTGTTTCCACACAATTAACATCACCAGTGCCATCAAGCAAGTTGTCACGAACATAACAGTAGTGACTGCCAGCCCTACAAATCCAGAAAAGAAACCATTTTGGTTCATAATCATCTCTCCAGATATTCTGAAAAGAAAAACAAATAAAAGTTTGCTGATTTATTCAACGGATGATGTTCATACCATAGGCATGACCCATCATGTTGGTGTCTCTCAATCCAATTGTTACAGCCAAACATAGGCACATCAACATCCAGTTGACCTCTGGAATGTATATCTGCCCATATATTTTGCTCGAGGTATGAACAATCTTTACCCGGGGAAAACAATTTAGAGCACAACATTGGCTTATGATTGAAAACGTAGCTGATATTACAGCCTGGCTTCCAACCACAGCTGCAAAAGTGGCCACGATGAAAACTGGCCAAAAGACTGCTTCTGCATAGAGAAAGAAACATCAATACTAAAGCAAAGAATAAAGTTATCTATTGGTGTTTTGATAAGCTCTTACCCGGTATGGCTTTATAGAAGCTCCTCTGTATGTCTTCATGGTGCTTTGAGAGGAAAGCTGCCTCGCCCATGTATGCCAGAACTAAACATGGATATACCAGAAATGTAAAGGCAACCTGGATTTGAATAGCCCATGTTGCAACTTCAGGATGAAGATTAAAATATGCCCAAAGTTTGTCTAGATTCATTCTTGTGCAAGGGACATTGCTAGTCAACTTGTTAAGTAGTGTGTAGAATTACCTTTATTGAAAGTGAAGAGAAATGACCCAGATCAGCAAACATTGTTTCGACACCTAGACAGAATTTGAAAAGAACCTAAATCAATTAACTAATCCAGTTAGCATAAGTAAACCAGAATTAATTCATGGGAAGTCTGAGGAACCTGTGATGGAGAGAACCACTCCTCCTAACGACACCCATCCTTCAACCCCAGTGCTTTTGAGGAACTTCAACATGTAAGCAGGAGAAAGTGCACGGACTACGTGTGGATTCCATTTGATGATGTTGTATATTCCGATGCTGCTAATACAAAGAAGCCATGCTGTGACAATTGGAGCGAACATGAAAGCAACTCTATGCGTTCCATGATGCTGGAGTGAGAAAAGCCCGACTAAAATGACGCAAGAGATGACAACAATATAATCTGAAAGAAGAAAAAAACTGAGTATAAGATTAGTAGCCTTATGCTCATTTATGGGTGACATATTATGAATTTTGTACTTACTCTCATGTAGTTCTGGGATCTTAATTTTGACTCCTGAAACTGCTGAAAGAACTGAAAACAAAATTACTCAAGAATGTCAACGAGAAGATAAACTAGCCTACTCAAGATTGATGTCACATTAAGAAGGATGCTGGAAAAGAAAGATTAAAAGATCAGTTGAGTGAAAAGCAGAGAATATCTAGAACAAAGAACTGTAAAGAAACCAATATTTCTCATATGCTGCTTTTAACAACCTGATATTGTAGGGGTTAGTACTCCATCACCAATCGCCATACAGGTGCCTAACAGAACAAAGATTAATAGTCCTTTCCGCGATCTTGGGTGCTTCTCAAAGAAAGACTTTAAAGCAGAACTCTGATGCGTATCTGTGGATCCTGCTGTGGCATATGTAGATAATTTCTCATCTGTAGCTTGCTGATTTGGTAGGATGCTTAATTCAGCATGTCTGCACAGAAGGGAGTACAAAGCAAAGGTACCACCTGCACCATAAGTGAAAAGTTGACATCGATAAGCTGTGTTTCTTCCTTGTCCAAATCTGCAGCCATTGAGCTTCAAATTAATAAAACCTTTTGCTATTAACTGCAGCTTTCCGTACGAGGTTATGCCTATTGACTACTAAGGAACAAGAAAAACCCAGAGCAAAGCTAAATGAGGCATCATTGGCATAACAGCTCAGTAGCTCTTTCGTTCAAAGAAAAGTTTGAACTAAACAATGAACAAAACTAATCTTCATTGTAATCACATTTTAAAGCGATAATTAAGTCTATAATATAATGAGAAAGCTTTACCTTCACCATTATCATCAGCTGACATAACAATGAAAACATATTTGAAGAGAGCAATGAGAGTAAATGTCCAGAAGATGAAAGAAAGAACGCCATAGATTTCCTCATCGTCCTCGTGGAGGCTCAATTTCCCAGAGAAGGTAGTCTTGTAAGCATATAGAGGAGAGGTACTAAGATCTCCATAAACCACTCCAAGACTTTGATAAGCCAATGTAATCACGGTTGTACAAGATACCCTCTTCAAATTCTGATTCATGGCACCGAGTCATTGTTATATTTCACACACTCATTTCAAGTAAAAGATAAAAAAGAACAAGCAGTGTAATGTTATCAATTCTGTACTATGGGTCAGAAGCAGAATTCATCTATGCCAGGAACACACAACAAGAAGGAAATTATATAAAGATGCTTTAAGAAACTCTCTTTATTCTTTTCACTACTTTTGAATTTTTTTTTTAACAGAACTAGGCAGTAGCTTGAGCATTGTTAAAGGTGAAACCAGCAGAGTATCATATTCACCATATTCCATGAAGTTAATCACATGAACTGACTCAAAAATATGAGAGAATCAAGTTTCTTTTATCCCAAAATGATTAAATCATTTCATCAAAATTTCCCCGCAAAGAATACAGAAAAACAGGCAATTGGACTAGCTAAGAAAAGTGAGCAAAATTTTGAAATTAGCTTCAGACTTCAGAGTTTATCAGTCACTGAGAAACAAAGGCATGCTAAAGTTTCCTTCTTGATAGACAACTGCTAATGTGTCACTGAAATTTGTTCTGGGATAACCCGTTTAAGCTAATAGTGAAGACATTTACACAGAAAAATTGGAAATGGGAAAGCCCACATGAAAACATCCTCCTTCCATGAAGCAAAAATGCAACTGCCCAGAACCCCATTAAATCTCACATAACTCAAAGCCTCTTTTACAAAATCAAAACTACAGAAAATAAAAGAGCAAGATAACATTTTTATAGCAGTTCCGTCAAATTTAACGTAACACTAGAGTAGAAAAAGGCAAGAGCTTCGTGGATCTATGGAGAAAGAAGAAGAAAAGAAGAGAGTACCTGTGGAGATATTCCCTGTTCCACAAGCTCCTGAGATGGGTTCATGGTCTTTTATCCTTAGAGTGAGAGAGGGGGGGAGGGGAGGAGATTGGAAGAGAAAGAAAGGTACGAATGAGAAGATATATAGAGAAAGAAGAAAGAGAATAAGAATAGACGAATGTAGGGAGTGAACAGAAATAAGTAGCAGTGAAAGAGGAGGCAAATACTGCGTGCGTCCAAAGAAGTTGCAAAATGCATTCAATGCCTTCTCCTTACTCCTTGTCTTCAATATCTGTATGTGTATAGATATATATATATATATATGTACTGAATATTTGTGTGTGTATAAATATTATTTGTTTGGATAAACCTTGAAATTGGAGTCGATAAGTTAGTCAGGAATCTTAAAATATGCTATTTACAGAGAGAGGATTGTTTGCTTTTAGTTCCATGGTTTGCAGAAGTAAGGTTTTTTCTTGTAGATTAATTGTTAATCCCACCCTTCTGGTATAAGTAGAAGACATGCATTGGGATGATATGTCCCACTATGACAGAGATGGGGAAGTGAAGTTTTTTGGAACAATATATCAAATGTGATTCAATTGTATAATAATAATATTATTATTATTATTAATGAAAAGACATATAAATCCTCCATTCAAGATTTTCAAAATAATTGATGTTTCACCTCCTTTGGAGATGATGTAGCAAATTTGAACTTATAAAGTAGCTTTATCTTTAGAATAATTAAATATCATATATATATATATATATATGTATTCATCATCATGACATATCTTTCAATGTATGTATGTATGTAATTTTCATTAATAAGTTTATTTATATAATTTTTTTAATATTCATGAAATTATTATAATGATATCGAAAACAAAATATAATATTAATTTCATTATTTTTAGAAATTATTTTTCAAACTATTTAATAACTAATGAAAAAAAATATCAACTTGTAATCTTTAAAAAAAAAATTATAAAATGTACAAACTTATTACATATTGATATAGATGTCACATGGTATTTGTGATTAAGTAGTGAAATTAATTTTTAAAATAATTTTACACTATTATTCATTTTTAAATTAACATGGTATAAAAATAATTCAATGTTATTTAACTATTTGTTTTTTAACCCAGAATCATAAGATATTCATAAACCCCATATATATATATATATATATATATATATATATTAAAGTTGAAATATCAATACTAGTTGCTTGCTTATCTTGCCAATTGTTTTGGTGAATTCCTAACCTACTTTTCACCTATTCATCTGTCTCCTTATTTGTCATGCAAAATCCCATGCATTAAGCAACTATCGGCTGCCACCAATGACTTACAATCCTAATTATGTCAATTAAATATATATTATTATAGTGTTCTTTAACTAATGGATTAATTAATATGTTTAATAATGGATTAATTAATTAATTAAATGAATTTGTTTGTATTCTTTTACATATATCTGGGGCAAAGAAGTAATAAGCTCTGGTTAGTTTGCTTCTTCATCCACTCAATCTTCAAGTAAGGCTGTCCTTTCGCCATTTAAAAAGTTTGTACTTCCATTGAAACACCTTTACCTTTTTAACTTGTACAAGTAACATCAATAAAATATCAATGTGGGTTTCCTTTAATAATATAAATAATAAAGATATCATTTTGCCAATTGGGTTTTAATTTATTGTAATATATATATATTTTTTTATATATATATATACATATTCATTCCATCCATGCTATACATAAAGTTATTTAGTTTAAAAAATATTTCCACGTGTGTTTATATTTAGTTAGATAGGAAAAAAATTTAAAAAAAAATTAAATTAAATTAAATTAAATGGTATAATTCTATACGTCTATAAAAAATTAAAATTATCTATGAATTGAAGAGGGAGGTGAGTATTTTGTGTCATTTTCCAAATTGGCATGTAGTGCGGTGCTTCTTTCCAGTTTAGGGTCCCTTCTGTCACTGAGAAAGCAAGAATTTTTTGATATTATAAATTATATTAATTCCTCTTTCTTCCATGATGGGTATAAATTTATACATCTACACATACAAACAAACATAGATATATATATATATATATAATATTATCCTCGCAGGTATTCAATTCTTTTTCTTATTGATCATGTCATGTATTGAACTATGCCATGAAGTTTTATTCAAAATGGACCCCCCCCATTGGCTATCACACATCTTTTCAAAATGTAATTTTATTATTAACTTTTTTTAAAAAAAATCTAATTCTTTAATTTATAAAGTTCAATATTTCAATCGATCAACTTTTATCCAATGGATAATAGTACATCCATTGATTTGATTATCCTGATTTTAATTACTATGTTCCAAAAAAATTAAAAAAAAAAAAGCCAACCGATTGAATTAAACTTTAATTAACTAAGTTCTTCCTTTAAAAAAAAAGGTGAAAACCCGATATGGGTTTCTCAAAATTATTCCACGAACCCTATATATGTACATGTGTATATATATTATAATGCAAATAGGTTGTTCTTTCACTTCCGACCTCTCAGTTTTGGATGAATTTGACAGGAACAATCAAGTCAAGATAGGAATTGTGAGTGATGTGCATGGTTTACCAATAGCATAAGATGCTAATCCTACGACGTTAGTTCATCCTAAATCCACTACCTACTCTCCTTTTCTCGACTTGAAAACTCAAAGTCTCTCAACTTGGAGACCAAAAATATAATTATCATTTCAACACCACGATTTGCATAGACATTTATATACACACACACACACATACGTAAAACATAATGCCATCGTGCATAATATTTAAGAACTGAAATACCCATTTAGGAGGATACCCTAAATCTTAACAAACCAAGTGAATACAATCTTCTTTGTTTAATGTGAAATAAAAAAGAATTAGTGTCAATGACTTGCAGCCTCCCACGACCCATCACATACATTTATGGGAGAAATAATTGTTTGGTTCAAGGGAAAATGAATAAGAAAAGAAAGATAGGAGGAAGCAACCAAAGTGTATATCTATTTTGAATAGCTACCTTAACAACCAAATCCTTTATTGGAGGCGTATTATTATTTTGTTTTGAGGTCCAACCGTACCATGAACATAATTGCAAGTACATTGCATGGAAGAGTTTGAATCTGATGAAGATTGAAAAGCCCAAAAAGAAAATTGAACAGGGTTTATTTATTTATTGATTTATTTGAAAAGATAAAATTCAATTCTAAGATAGATATATATATACATATATGTTTGTAAGATGGGTTAGGTGTGGTATCTATATCAAATAGTTAGTACCTTTATTGGGGAGGGGTGGGGGGGGTGTCCCATTCGATTGAATGCTAGCTATACACTATTCAACATTGGTGTATGTTCATGTAATTAATTGGGATATATATGGGTCTCGCTAATTCTAAAATCTTGGTTAGATGTTACTTTTTTCCTATTTGTATTGATAAAATTTCTATAGTTTTATGACGTTGATTTAAACTCCTGTTCCCTCATCTGTTGAAGTTGAAACGTGTGAGTGTGAGAGATGAAAGATTATCCATATCAATATGTACATATATATATATATATATATATGTATATATAAGTAGACAGAGAAAAGAGATTGCATGTAGGGGTTCCCCACTAGTTGTAAGCAATTGGATTCCCGGGCGTGGGGGTTGCCCTATGATCGCCTTTTTGTGACATCGGATGTTTGTCACGTGCGTTCATCCAGTTTTGATGCCCATCGCCATCCACCTTCACTTTTCTCCTCTTCTCTTCCCTCCCCCTTAATAATTTTGGCATCTGCTCAACTCATATACATATATATACAAGAAGATAGTAATTTGATCCTATCAAAAACTTTTTAGCGGTAAAATGTTTTTATTTGAGTATTAATAATTTTTTGAAGGATCAGTTTATTATTGCAGTCCATCAAATAGTACCAGAATTCATATATTTTAGGGAAAAAAAAAAAGTATAAATTATTGAATTATATTTTTTTTAAAAAAAATTACTGTACTTAATAGGTCCTCCCAAAGAACAGGGACATTTTATAAATTCAACAGCCATTTGCCATGTATATATATATATATATAGATTTAAATATACAAATAATTTGAATGCCATCTCTAACTCCAATTATTGTTGGGAATCCTGCTGCTTGCCTTCTATTTTCCTTTTGTCTTATTTCTAATGGGGGCTGAGCCTTCCGTGGAACCAGTCCCTCTCTTTTGTCATTTTCCCTCCTTGTTAGGTTGTACGGGTCGCTTAGCCCATAACTAATCCACTTTCGGTTGTTCTTTGCCCTTCCATTTAGGTAGGAGTCCAATAAGTAATCATAAATTTTGGGCTTTATTTGCCAATGCACTCAGGTATAAACCAACCACAGATTTTATATTCCCACAGTTGAATATGCTACATATACCAATCCATTACCTGACTAGCAAAGCATATCTGAAGTTCTGTACCAGGTATGACTGACGCTAATATGTTGTAATTGTTTTAACCACTCAATAATTTCTTACAGACTTGGACAAATACATTGACTTTGGAGAGCAGGACATCCACACAACATAAACTTGTGAATGTACAACTTACCGTAAGAATATTGCCCAAATCACTAGGGGAAGAAGATCCATTTGACATGCACTGTCAATTCAAAATCCGGAATTGACAATAGTATCCAAGTCTCATTTTTACCATATAACACAAGAAATCCAAGACTACCAAATAGGAGTATCGGTCTATAAAAGTGATATCTTTCTCCCTGCATCCATTGGGTGGTATCACCAGAAACTTGCACCCCGTAGTATTGAGAAATGAAATGAAATGAAATGAAAACAAGACCATTGCTGGACATCTCTGACCATATCCAAACTGCAAAAACACAACCCTCAGACATTCAAACATGACCTCAAGTTCAAGCCAAACACATACGACTCAAAATGACTCATAGTAGACCCACATCAGTCCGACCGGCAACAAATACTTCCTCAGCAGTGTCAATGTGCCGAGACATGGCCAAGAAATGTGGACATCCATCACATCTTGCAATGTATCTGATGACATGAAACATAAATTCCAACCCTCTTTAAGTTGAAGAAGAGCCAGGCTCCTCACTTTTCTTTTCTGCATCTGCTTCACTTTTGCTTTCTTTTTCCTCTTTCTGTGGTGCCTCTTCCACAGCTTTCTCATCACTTTTCTTGTCCTTCTCTTCCTCAACAGTCAACTTCTCGAGAAGACCAGCAGCTGCAGTGGCATCTTTGTTCTCTTCTTTCTTTTGCTGAGATTCAGCAACTTCTTCAATCATTTGCATAAAGGTTTTGCAATCTGATATCAAAAAGAAGATGTCAGAGATAAACAGAGCACTATAAATTAAAACAAATCAACCAAGCCAGAGGAATAGAGCAACATGGGGAAAAAGAACTGAGTGAATATATATAGAAAAGAAACGTAATAACTAGATAGTGAGAATAAATGCCCAAACAGTCACAGTCAAAACTGCAACCACCTCAACCATATAAATTCCAGCAGCAATTTCTCAGTGATATTTACATTATTGGGAGAAATCCATCAATAATTTATAACTGTGGCTGAACAATTCATCCCCTAATAGAAGGTTTTGATTTTACAAACTATATTAAGAACTACCATTGCACACTTGGCAATGAAAAGTTGATTTAGCAATTCGCCATTGATCATTAATGAATTGTTTGCCTGCAGGTCATGAGCAACAGCTAATTCACAAAATACAAATATATTGTCAGAAGTTTTAAAACTGATTTGGGTGACATGAACATCCAGATGTATACCGAGAAAACCAATACAATCATCCCAAACTTCTAACATGTCCAGCAGTATTTACCAAAACAAAGCTGAAGATATAAGTGCATCCAAACTAAAATGCAATCTCATACAGCTTGCCAACCTAGAAGATCAAGCAGAACCTCCTACCATTCTTTTCAAACCTCAATAAAACAAATTCATACCAGTCATTGCTTCTCATGCACTTCAAAAAAAAACCTCAAAATAGAAAATGTAAACCAAAGTTCTCCCACCTCAGCTCTAATGGATGGACACCAGTTTCCACTCTAAAGGATTTCTTTACTTGCTCACTCATATGGATCTAACATTAGCATCAGTCATCACAGGATCAATGTAAATCTTACTCTCAAAGTTGGTAATTCAGCGGAAAGAGCACTGGTTTTCCTCCTTCTTTCATTTATTCATAGGTACATGGTTATAGAAGTAGGTATCGTTTAGTTTGTATCTCACTCTTATGATCTAGAGTCTTTAATCCAATTTCACAATAAACCTCCTTTACCTAACAACTGCATGAAAAGTGTTGCCAAATATTTGCCCTTCTCGAGAAATTTTTTTCAAAAGCCAAACTGATTTTCATGATCATATGGGCAGGTGTCATTAGTTTGTTTCTCACTCTTACAACTTAGAACCTTAATCCAACTTCCCAGCATAAATCCCATACTATTGTGAAAGATTGCTCTTCTCAGGGAAAAAAAAAATGTTCCTGAAGACTGCTTCAGAACCCTCCATCAACATAGAAGACATGCTTTATCAGAAAAGCGTGTCTGATAGATAATAGAGTCTAACAACAGTAAGTCCACCGAACCTCAATATGCATGAATGCAAGCAAAACATATCTTAGATATATGAGAAAACAATATGAAAACAGTGTTGCAACCTCTAGCGTATTCTTCTGCCTCTTAGCTTAAGAAGCAGAGAACGACAAATGGATCATTCACATGGTTAAGGTGACTTTAGAATTTCAGACATGCACTTATGTAAGCATACTAGACAAACAGCACAATGTATCTAATACTTATCATCTCTAAACTGCATAAGCACAAGCAGGTCACATGCATGACAGAAGTGCTAAAATTGAATGGACCACCAGGACCAGGCAATCAGGGCGCTCGAAACTGCACGTGACAGCATTCAAGCAAACCTAGCTGGAACTATGCATATATCCATTTTAAATTACGGGCGCATCACCCTCACCATGAGATAGAAACACAGATACCAAAATTACAGCTAGCTCGTACAATACAGAAACGTAAAAGGAAATCATACATGCACACACTGCCATAAAACACATAGGTACATGTGAAACCTCAATGACACACACAAAAAACAATATTCAAGTAAATCTGCAACGAAATTGAAAAACAAACCATATTAAGAATGACAGAAAACACTTTGTACTCACTCTCAACTGATCCAAAACGAATGCAGAAAAGCTCATCCTTCAATTCACCATCAGCAAAATCCGTGGCGTGCCACACACACGACTTCTCATTGCCGGCGTGTTCCTGCACCGTCATTGCAGGCAAAACTGCAAATTCGAAGAGAAGAAAAAGCACACGCAAATCAAAACCTAAGGAGAAAGGACAAACTATAATGAAAATTGAATACATCCATAAACAGTGTAAAAGAAAAATGTCAAGCGCAAAGCAGATGACAGATAGAAAGACATACCGAGATGATTGGCGCAGATCTTCAGAGTCTTAGATTGCCTCATAACGAGGCGAACCTTTCCTGTAACCTTGTGTTTCAATAGCTTCACGGTACCAGCACCTCTCTCCTTCCACTGATTTCCCTCCTTATCAAATCGATAGAGTTTCGCTTTCCTATCATTAACAGTTAAAATTAGAGAAAACAATAAACTCAATAAGTTAAAACTTAAAAACCCTAAAAATGGATTAGAAAACGACAAACTGATCAGATCGAAGATATAAAAACGACATGTACTGCAGAGACAGAGACACAGAAATAAATGTATACGCACAGATCGAGGATGGCGTCTTCATCTTCCTCCCCGGTGGTTACGGCCACTTCCTCGAGCTTGACGATAGGGGCGACCTGAGCGCCGGTGTCCTCGTCCTCGTTGGCGGCAGTTTCCTCATCTTCTCTGTGCTCGTGCTCGGGAGCGTTGCTTGCCATTTCTGCTTCTGACGACTGTTCGTTCGCCACTCACTATTTGAACAGAGAAATGGATATTTAGATCGAAGGTTTTGGGGCGGTGAGGGTTTATACAGAATAAGTGTTGTTGCGGTATAAATAAATAAATAAATAAATATATATATATATATATATATATAGTGAACTGTTACTGAATGTAATGTAACTTGGGAAGGAGTTTAATGGACGAGGCGTGATATTTACGCTCATGATAGGGACTGTTTGGTTAGCAGAAAAGTCGTCCCCCTACTTGGGATAAAATATTGTCCGAACTTCAGCTGGACCTTAAACCTTTCCACGGGGAGGTTGGGCTGAATCTGGACGGGATAAGTTTGTTTTTTTTATTTTTAATGATAGATTGAATTGGTGGGTCTGTAAAAGTTCGGCCCAGTTATTAGGCCTATATTTTTGTTTGTCCAAACTTCAAAACACGAGTTTACATTATTTTTCTCAAAATAAAGATTTGTATAGTTTTCTTTTATATTATATTGCATATCGAAACTGACTGAAACTTTTATTTTCTTTTTTTCTTCGTAATATTTTAGTTTAATGTGTCTAGTATATAATTATATAGATTAGTCATTAAATACACATGTATGTAATAAGTATATTATTTCATGGGATATTATTATTATTATTATTATTATTACTAGGAAAACTATGATTTAAATGTTTTGTTATAAGAATATCATGGAATAGTAAAAGGACGTTTATTACCTTGAGGAAAAGTCAATCAGTAGAGTAGTTGGTAAATTTATAAAAAAAAAAAACACTTGGGAGTAAATAAATTTATATTGTATTTAACTAATTATATTACCAAAGTATTAATGAATGTTGGTTTTTTTTTTAAGGATCCTATAACTTAATTTTCATATTATTAATGTATGTTTTATAAGCATATCATTCATTTATAGCTGGTGTGTGTCTACTTGGTGGTGGAGAGGAAAGAACATGGAAAGTGGGATGTAGAGATGAAGACATGCAATGCAAATTCGTTGATAAATCTAAAAGTGATATCTCATTTTGTAATTTACAAATAACATTTTAGATTATGACCAAAACACTTAATGTTAGGGGAAGCTTCAAAAACATGTCTCTTCTGCTGCTGCTGCTAACCACAACTCCACCCACTCCTAGGTTAAATTGTCATAGAATTGGGTCCCTCCTAAATATTCTAAATTACAATTTAAATGGTTTTTAATTTGTATTAATTTAAAAAATAATAATAATATAAATATATGAAAATTAATCCGAAAATATTTTTCTACTAACGATAATCTGAAGTTATATTAAAAAATTAAAAATTGAGAAGAAATTGGTGAGTTGGGAAATCAAAATTGCAAGATTGGGTTGTCGTCTGTTGAGAAAGCAAGCACGGAGATCTTAATTGTATTGGGAGTGAATGTTGAGATTCTCTTAATCTTTATTAATTTAATCATGTTCATGGTTGCTCATTTTCGTTTGACCAACCAAATATGCATACACACACGTATGTATATAACAAGTTGGTGTCAACCTTGTCTCTTGTCAACTAAAAATTCAAAACAAATAGCTTATGCATCGTTTAGGAAATTTTAAACGAAATCATTAATTTATAATTGTTAAATTTAACTATCGTGTATGAAACACATAATTATTATGGCTCAAATTTACACATTTATATAAAAATAAAAAAAATAATTTTCATTTGGTTAATAAATAATTAATTTTAATATGAATGATTTATTTTATTAAATTAAACACGAAATTAACTTTTAATACCAAAATAATTAATCTAAAAACACCACAACCACTAAAAAATAAATTCATAATTATAAAAATCGAATGAAAGTTAAACGATATCGATTATAAATTTAAAAAAAAAATAAGTACAAAAATTATTTATTACTTATTCGTATTATCTCGATTCGATTTAGTTTTGCCACATTTGGCTAACAACACAACTCTTTGAAAAGAGGAACTCAACACATATTATATTATTTGTCTTATAGTTGGGCACGCCTAAAAATATCATAGGATTGGAAAATGGTACTCATCATCTTGCACTACTCAGTGTTTATGGCCAAGACAGCTTGTCACCCAACTTGGCTTTACACAAACCCACATTACCATTTTCTTTTTTTAGACATTTAATATATAACTATTTTTTATAAAATAAAATTAACAATTGGGTAAAAAATCTATATTCCACACCCACCAAAACATGCACTTGCCACTTCTCTCTTCTTCTTTTATTTTTATTTTTTTTAAAAAAAAAATAGTGATAAATAATAATGAAGGAAAAGAAACGTGGTTGGGCTCACTCACGTGGGTAAATTGAGGCTGAAATTTAAACAAGAAGAATATAAATAATAATAATAATAATAATGATTTAAAATAATATATCTGAATATTTTCGGCCAATAGAAACTCAAAATATTACAGCACATCCAATATAAAAGGCCCATCCCTCGCTCCTCCACCGCAAAACCCACGTTTCCCGACCCATACTGACAGCTGAAGCCACCCATGCGACGCCGCGTTTTGATTAACCCGACCCGACCCGGTAAAAATTCGTACATTTTACCGCCTTCCCGCTCCTGCAACCTGTTGCCGCCGAAATTACGAAAATCCCATTTTGAGCTTTTCGCTTTTCGTTCTTCTGCTGTCCTCCTCACGGATTCCCAAGAATATACCGAATTTGCACTTTCTGTTTCCAATTCTACCCTCGTCAAATTCAAATATGCCGCATTTCTCCCTGCCTCTTCGCTCTCACTACAGTCGACTCCTGGTGATTCCAAAGTGCTATCCCTCACTGCCATCCAACCATCTGATTCCCAAATTTTCCCTCTAGTTGTCACTAATTTACCGATTCTGTCTTTCGCTGAAATTTCACGAGTCATCTCATCCCACTGAGTCGCCGAATCTCGCTCTTCTTCTTCGTCTTCGAATTCTGAGTTGACCCAGTCGAGTACGCAACGAGGAGATGACTCTATGGGTGTATAACAGTGTGATAAAAACGGATGCTCCAACAGTTGATCGCAGGTCCATCGTTGGCTGGGTTCTTTCCTCAGACACTTATCTAGAAAATCGCGACCAAGCTCCGATAGTTGAGTTGGGAAACGAGGCAACTCCTCGGAAAATCCGATGCGGCTCAGTGTCTCAAAGCCCCGATCCTCCCAGGCAGGTTTCCCGGTGAGCATCTCGATAACGGTGCAGCCGAGAGACCATATATCACTCTCGGGTCCTTGGTATTCCCGTCGGATAACCTCCGGCGCCATCCACAGCGGGCTTCCACGTGGAACAATTGGAGCCGCAGACCTGGCAACTCCACGGGTGAGCTCCATCGCTGACCCGAAATCCGCGAGCTTCGCCGCGCCATAGCTAGGCCCCACAAGAATGTTCTTTCCCTTCACGTCGCAGTGCACGAATCCCCGGGAGTGTACATGTCGCAAAGCAGAGACAACGCACCACGTGTAACGCCGCAAAAGCAGCTCGTCCACGTCAGCGCCGAGACGGGAGGAAGTCGACGCCATGTCAGCAACCGTGCCACCCGGCAAGTACTCCATATGGAGGTTCCGATACGACGCCGTAACGTCCTCTCCGAGGATCCCCACGACATAGGGACTCCCAGAAAGCGAGCGGAGGATCCGAATTTCATTCTCTAAGGACTCGATCTGACCTGGAAGACACGTGTCAAGATCGACGGACTTCACAGCAAAAACACGACCGTCGGATTTTTTAACAGCGACGTTGACGGTACCGAAGCAGCCTCGGCCGACGCACTTCCCTCTAACCCAAGAAACCGGCGGCGAAGAAACGTCGTCGTTCCTGTTGTCGTAGCTCCGTGGAGTTTCCATTGAAGAAATTCGCTCTGTGTCGTTGCTTGTGCGAGTAAGCATGTTTTGTTGGCCACATTACTAGGGCCACAAGGGAGCACAAGTATATATACGTGCGTGTGGACTGTAGGAATTTTAGATTATTATTATTGAAATATTCAATTAACTTATATCCGACGTGGAAATAATAAATGGATAATTTGATTTTTTTGGAAAAGGGGTTTGATGACGTCACGGAAGGAGTTGGATTACAAGTTCCGGTTTTGATGTATACAGGGTTTATCCTTATCCAAGTAAGAAGGGAGGTTAATCACTTAATCTCAACCGTCAGATCTCCGAGGGGATCAAATAAACAAAGGCGGGTATTGTTGTTTAAACATGTAAATGAAAATGGTTCGAGGAATCAGGCCGAATTTTTGGTCGGTAAGGAATAATAATTTTTTTAAGTGGTGGAAATAGGAAAGTAAATAATTAATTCCAGCGTCACCACGTGGAAAATTCACCGACGTGGAGTGATTGATTAAATTAATTTTCTTTTTAATTAATAATTAATTGCGATAGACGAGTTTTCATTAACTGTCTATTTTTATCGGTTTAATTTTTCATGTCATCATTGAAATTTTTTTAAGAAAAGGAGGGGTTCAAAATAAAATAAAAAGGAGGTGACAAACATTTTTTTAATTTTTTTAAATAAAAAAAAAAAAAAAGAAACAATGGAATTCACAACCACATGGAAGAAGCGGGGAGGGGGACAGGTTTCTGTTAAAAAGCGGGGTCCACATAAGTGCTGACATGGCAAAAAACCGGTGGTCCACGTCAGTAGAAGAGAGAAACAGAGGGTAGTAATTGGTGGAAGAGAATGGGAAAGTAGAGAAAGGGCAGACGTCTGGATTCGGCTGAGGATTCTCGTGCGTGTCTGGTATTTTACAGTGAAGAGAGGTGTTGACGTGCACGACCTGCCTCCATCAATTAAAATATTTATGAAGAAGATAAATATGCTCTGCATGTTTTTGTACGTATTTATATATTTTTAAATAAATTAAATAATAGTATATCGAAATTTTATTTTTAATATTTATGAGTGCCACAAACTATATATATATATATATACTGCTGGGTTGTTATCCATTCGTATCTTTCCCAAGATCTGTGTTCTTGGACGGCTTTGGGGTGGATCTTGTTGAACTGAACTGCGATGCGCCTGACCTTTTGAGCTTTCGATGGTTGCTTTCTTACACAATTAATTCATACGTGAATAATAAATATGAAGGAGTTTCATCAGGTCAAAGACGATATTGAAACAATTTTCAAAGTCATTTTTACTAATTTGTAAAAAACTTCATTAAAAGAAACATAAAATCTTATTAATTCAAAAACACAAGTAGACACATATATTGCTAAAGATCCCTAAAAAGCTCGGCGGTTTAAAAACTTAGCAAGCTCAAATTCTTGTCTTGCTCCTACTGACCCGATACAATGGACCAAGCCGAATGAGTTGTTAATCTTATTTAGTTTAAAGTTCAGTTAAGTTAAATTCGAACTCAACCAAGTTTATATCTAATCTTAACTCATTATAAAAAATTAAATTAAAGTTTTAATAAATAAAATAATACTAACAGTCATATTTAATTTTTTTTTAATTTTTATTTTTTTAAAATATTGTCAATGGACTTGACCTATTTGGCTAAAGAGGGTAAGTCTCAACTTGGGTATAAACTTAAACTGTTTAGATAGTTCAAATCATCTTGTTTTGTTATTTATTACTTTAGTTAAAAAGGACCACCTATTATGTAGATTTAATATGATTGATTGATAATTATACTAGTAAAATTTATTTAAGACACGGTTGTTTTTCTTCTTGTTGTAAAAAACATATTCATACAAGTATGTACATATAATTTATAGAAGAATGTATTTTTTGAAAAAGTAAGTATAAAAAATATTTACCTTCAATTGAATGTAGAATTAACTTTAAATTGCAATATCAATTTTATTTATATTTTTATTTTATTTTATTTTGATTGCATCTTTAATTTCATCCCATGAAATTAAAAATTTTAAAACATTGTCCAGTTTGGCGAATTGTATATCAAAAGTAAATTTTTATAAGTTATATAAATAATTGATTTCACTAGTGATGTGATTGTATTTTTGTATTTGTAAATATAAATATAAATATGGTTAGTAGTGATTTTAATTCATGCGGTACTTTATTTATTGATTGATTTATATATTTTGCATGATTTGTCAAAGTCATGAAATGGGTACGAAACATTGATTTGGATAAGTTAGAAGAACTCTTTCTTAGCTAAAGAGAAAAGGAAATGAACAAAGTTGTTGTCCACTTAAACACAAACCTCCTTTTTTTTAAAAAAAAAACAAAATTAAATAAATAAAACCTTAGTAGGAAAGCAACCTCATACTCACATTAAAAAATATAAGAAGAAAAAAGAACCTATTGAAATTGAAATTGAAATTCCTATTTGGAAACCCACTTGTCAGACAAAGGTCGTGTTTGTGGTCTCAAAATTATTGGGTTTCCATCAAGAAATTTGATCTTAATGTTTACTTGATACTCTGTTGATTAGATAAGCTGTCCTCTCTAATCGCGACAACAAACCCTAATTCCTTACACCCAATCATGTGTTTATAAATTCTTTATTGTATATATACATCCGATCAATTCGTAAGTTGCTGTATTTTTAAAATGGGTATGTACCCAAATTCAGATTTCGTACATTTTCATCTTGTCTCCAATTGATGGCACTGAATCGGGCCATGTGGGTCGAAGTGGCCCGTTTGACTTGACCCTCTTCCACGCCCTTCAAATCTAGCCTGTAAAATTAATAAATTTGTGTGTAAAAAGAAAAAGAAAAAAAAAAAAAAAATTTGCTTGACTACGTATGGAGAAAGTTAGATCAAGGCCATTGTTTGGTTCATGATTATGTGTCG